CTGTCGACCCAGGGTTTAGGGTTTAGGGTTTAGGGGTTTAGGGTTTAGGGTTTAGGGTTTAGGGTTTAGGGGTTTAGGGTTTAGGGTTTAGGGTTTAGGGTTTAGGGTTTTGTGAAAGACCAGCGCAAACGCGTCGGTTCTTACGGGGCAAAGGCCGGAGCCAAACCCCCGGACGGACCTTTGGAAGCAAGACTGCACCAGGATGGATGGGTGTGCTTCAGCTTCAGGGCGGGGATGTTCTTGGCTCTGAACCTCGCTACGCAGCAAAGGCCATGATAACAAAAAGCTGACCCCCGAACCCTAAACCCTACACCCTAAACCCCTAAACCCTAAATTCTAAACCTTAAACCCCTAAACCCCTAAACCCTAAACCCTAAAACCTAAACCCGAAACCCTAAAACCCAAAACCCTAAACCTGAAAACACAAACCCTAAACCCTAAACCCCTAAACCCTAAACCCTAAACCTTAAAACTCAAACCCTAAAACCCAGATCCTACCGAGCCAGCCTCGAACTCAACCGGGTCGGGTAGGTCCCATTTGCACCACTGCTTCGTAGCCCGCTCCTCCCAAAGGCCTGCGGCTTTAAGGGTTTAGGTTTCAGGGTTTAGGGTTTGGGGTTTAGGGTTTAGGGTTCAGGGTTCGGGGTTTAAGGTTTTAGGTTTTAGGGTTTAGGGTTTAAGGTTTTAGGGTTTAGGGTTTAGGGTTTAGGGCTTTAGGGTTTTAGGGGCTTTCTGGAGAGGATGGTTGGGGCATGCTTTGGGGCGTAAGGTTTTTTGAGTGCAGTGCCTTGGGGTTTAAGGGCTTGGGGGTTTAGGAATAGGTGTCCAGGCTTTCGGGCTGCTGCGAAGATTTATCTATACGGGTCTTTTCAGGTGTTTCGAACGTTTTATCAGGGTTTGGTGGGGGTTCATGAGGACTTATGAGCTCGCATAAGGTTTGCGTGGGTCTTCGTTGAAAATTATGAGTTTGAGGTTGCTTAGGATGTGGGGTTTGAGGCCTGTCATGTATGGTTGAAACCGTAAGCCCTACACCGTAGGGCTTATGGTTTCGGGGCTCCGGGACCCTACTCCTGTGCCCACTCTTGTATTACTTTATTAGACCCTCAAAACCCTATTCTAATTATTAAGGCTCCTATATTACCCTAAACCCTTATAGTAACCCTTTAAGGAACCCTTATAGTAACCCTTTAAGAAACCTTTATACTAACCCTTTAAGGAACCCACCCTTCAAGGAACCCTTAGAGTAACCCTTTAAGGAACCCTTTAAAGGAACCCCTAGGGTTTAGGGTTTAGGGTTTAGGGGTTTAGGGTTTAGGGTTTAGGGTTTAGGGTTTAACCAAGGGGTCTGGATCTACGGTTCAAGCTGTTGGGCGTCAGCTTGACGGTTTGCTTGGTTCAACACCGGGGGCCTTAAACCGTGCAGGGCAGTAGCCACTGCAGTAGCAGAGCATTACTTTATAGTTTAGGGTTTAGGGTTTAGGGTGTGGGGTTTGGGGCTTTAGGGGTTTAGGGTTCAGGGTTTAGGTTTAGGGTTTAGGGTTAGTTTAGGGTTTGGGGTTTAGGGTTCAGGGTTTAGGGTTTAGGGTTTAGGGTTTAGGGTTTAGGGTGCAACCGCTGCAGGAGAAGGAGAAGAGCACACACAAGGGTTTGGCGCCCAGGGTTATCAGGTTCATTGGTGCAGAGGTCTAGATATTTGGGAGTCTAAGGCCATGAAACCCTGTGCATCGGTGCCGAAAGTTTCTAGAATCCGTATGAAATCTGAGAAACTCCGAAACTCCTCAGTAAAGGCCTAAAGCGAAACGAATCCCTTAAAATCTCAAACCTCCCAACCCATAGCCCTTGTCGCAACCCTCCCGTTTCGCCGCCTATGTTCAATAAGTCTTCATCCTCCGGGATATCCTTCACGTGCAGTTCGGGCACCTCGCCCTCTACTGCCTCGGTAAACGCAAACTCTTCAGGGCTGTAGTAGGAGGTGTTTAAACTTTTAGAATAGAAGGTTTATAAGGGGGCCAGACTTGGGGTGCGAGAGAGGCTAGCAGTCATTAGCTAGGTGCCCATCGCACGAAGCTACAGATCTCTGTGGAGGGTCGGCCTGCGTTGCAGGCTCGACGTTGGCTGCGCTCTCGTTATCGCATTCCGCTTGTCCCTGAGCTTCCCACCAGCTTCCCATTTCTCGCATGCTCGGCGAGCATCTTCGGAAAGAATCTGTTTGCTCGTTCTCTTTTCTTTCTGCCCTAAACCCTAAACCCTAAACCCTAAACCCTAATTTTCCACAGACTTTCTCATTTTTTTCTTCCAGGCCTTTGTCGCCTGTGTGCACCGTCCGGACCACAGAACCTCTGTGCCCCTGCCTCTTTCTAAGGCTGAACCCATGGGCCCCTAGTATGGGCCCTTAACCCTGGGATCCTTATATACCTACTATATACCCTATATGTACCCTTAAGGGACCCTAGAACCCCCTAAGGGCCCATGTTAGGGGCCCATACTTCTAACCTTGGCCTCTTCCCTGCGCTGGCGTTCTTCCTCGCATGCTGCGACTAGCCCCGCCTGAGCCTTCTCCTTCCTCGCAGCTTTCCTGTCTTCCTTCCCCTACACCCCAAACCCTAAACCGCACATGTGTGTGTGTGTGTGTGTGTGTGTCGGGGGGGCAAGGTGCGAGCTCCGGCTTTCTTGCTGTCCTCCTTCTCTTTGTCTCCCCCAGGGGTTTGGGGCCGTGTTGCATCCCTCCAGGTGACGGTGACGGTACGCCTGCGACACGACGACAGGCCTCACTTCGAACCAGCCGTGAAATCTGAAAGCTCTACAAAGCTACAAGCCCACCGTCTCGAAGCTCAGGACCGTTGTGAGGTCTTTGAAAAACCCTAATGTAGGGGCCTAAAAAAATTAGAATAGGGTTTTGTGGGGCCCATTATACTATATTTACATAACAAGGAACCCCCAAAATAGTATAGGTAATTATGTAGGCCCATTATACTATATTTACATAACAAGGAACCCCCAAAATAGTATAGGTAATTATGTAGGCCCCTACATTACCCTAATTACTAAACCCTAAACCCTTAGCCATAAATATACTAAGGAACCCTAAACCCTAAGCCCTAAACCCTAAACCCTAAACCCTAAACCCTAAACCCTAAACCCTAAACCCTAAACCCTAAACCCTAAACCCTAAACCCTAAACCCTAGACCCCTATGTTAACCCTGAATGTTCGAGGCTCAGGGCTCAGAGCCACATATCCAAAGGTCCTGAAGCTTTCGAATCGTGGTTTAGGGTTTAGGGCTTAGGGGTTTAGGGTTTAGGGTTTAGGGTTTAGGGCTTAGGGTTTAGGGCTTAGGGGTTTAGGATTTAGGGTTTAGGGTTTAGGGTTTAGGGCTTAAGGGTCCCGCTAAACCCCCAAGAGAACCCTACACAAAACCGACAAAAACCTCGAAAGCCCAGCTGCTGGCAGCGTCTCATCACGGAAGTTCTTCCGCAGCCAGCGCCCCAGGAACGGCAAGGCGTGAAAAGTCCAGGTTGGGTGGGCATGTCCTGGGTTTAGGGTTTAGGGTTTAGGGTTTAGGGTTTAGGGTTTAGGGTTGACTTATGAATGTCGTATTATTAGGGGTACCCCTTAAAGGATACCCCTTCTGAACCCTACTTTTGGCTCTCTTAAAAGGGAGCTTATTGAGAGGGTCTATATTCCCAAGGGTCCCCCTAATCCTAGCTCCCATGTCCTCGACTTGGGAATGTCTGCTGTAGGGCTTTATAAGGGTATGTTCATAAAGACTCTTGACACTGCCTCCGAAAAGTGCGTTTACGGCGTGTTTGTTGATTCTTTGGATGAGGGTGTCTTTGACAAGGGTTGTTATTTCTTGAATACGAAGCCTGTGGGTTTGTTGCCTGTTCTACAGCCACAGCTCTAGGCCCAGAGACCCCAATACCCCTTAATTAAGGAATATACCGTAAACGAGAGGGGCCTTAATATTAGGATTTAAGGTATATTCCTAAACCCTAAACCCTAAACCCTAAACCCTAAACCCTATTCCTTAATTAAGTTATTGGGTTCTCTGGGGGGCGTCACCTCGGCTGGGAGCGCACACATCTGAGGATGGACAGTTGAAGACCCGTCGGAGCGCTGTCGAGTAGAATAGGGGCCTTAATAACTAGAATAGGTTTAGGGTTTAGGGTTTAGGGTTCAGGGTTTAGGGTTTAGGGTTTAGAAGACGCTAAAGCGCCTAAGCCTCGCACCCTTCCAGCAAGTCTGTCAGTTCCTTCTTGTACTTCTACTAGAATATAATACTCCAAAGACCCTAACACCGTAAACCCTAAGCCCTAAACCCTAAACCCAGAAGGCAGGTTCTTTTGTTACTTAGGATCTCTTGACACAGGGAAGCCTCGGCTCCTCTTAGCAGGTAAACAAAAAACTGAAGGCTTTGGAGACCCCCTTTCAGAGAAGCCCTAACCCAAGAAAGTGTCCAAGTGCTGAAAGAAGCGCATTTCCCGATAGGCCCTCTTCTTTAAGAAGAACTTCTTTGAACAACCCCAAGAATTTCACAACAGGTGTCCCCAACGCATCGTCTGGAAGGTGCAGGGCTGCCGCGGAGGACAAATCCGTTGCCACCACCTCGCCTTACCTGGAGGTGTTCAGGGTCAGGGGCGTTTTAAGGGCTCCTTTAAGGAATATATTGGCCAGGGCTTTCAAGGGCTCCTTCAAAAAATCTATAGGGCTTCCAAGGTTCGCGGTTGTGGCGGTGTAAGCTCCAAATGCACGAAGCTTTGGCGGTCTGGGTCTGTGTGTATATATATATACACACACATATACCTATACCTATGCCTACACAAACTCCTATTCCTATAACTAGACATATACATACAAACATACACATACATATGCGTATACATACACATATACATATACGTATACATATACTTATACATATAATATACATGTATCTGTCCATATATATATATATATAGATACATACACATACACATATACATAA